AAAATGGCATTAACCAGTCAATTAAAAAGATTATAATATTATGTTGACAGTTAATAAAAAATGTATCTTTTATGTCTAAAATGTAATACCAAAGATACCAGATAGGTTTTTACAAACCTAACAAAAAATTTAAGTTACAGGACATTAGCATTAATTTTTCTACTAGTTTTTAGACTACTATGGATTTTTTATTGACATTGGATTATTATTCTCCAGTGATATTTCTTAGTCTGTTATAACTCAAACACTATTGACCATGGATTATATTTGAAACTTTCACTAAATAATTTGGTTATAAAAGTGATTTAATAATTTTAAAGATACTCGACGATATATTTTGCATTTTAAGTTAAAATTTTGATAGTTGGAAAAATTATTTTGTAGTTAAAAGTGTATAAATTGTTCAACTTGTATACCTACTAGCTTTGGCTTGATCATTTAATACGAATTTCCTTACAAGTAATTAATTCTGGAACCAAAAAATAAAGAACAAATATCTAGACCTGATACAATGGAAGTGGAAAATGTTTTCCAAATTTGATATTTAGACGAACAATAATTAATGTTCCAGTTATTTTATGACAGAAAGTGCAAAAACATTTTTCTCAGTGTTTTTGGACTATTATATTTTTCTATACGCAATGCTGTTTTCAAAATATTTATATTAATTTTATGGTATCGCCTATTCATAATAGTTTATAATACCTTATGAGTTATGACTAGGGCTCAGGACTTTGAGGAGTTTACGTGTTTTTAAATAATCATAAAAAATAATATAGAAATTTGTTTCATAGCAATCCAAGTTTATATTTAAAATGTATATGGTTACATATTTTGCATATTTGACCATATTTCATTTATAAGTGCATATTTTACCATTTTTCATTTTATTAGTGTACATTTGACAATATTATTTATACAAGGTGTAAGTTTTTTAATTTTGTACAGGCAAGTTAATTTTAAAGAGATTTCCTGGACCAGGTATAAATATTTAAAAATTAATGTTTGCGTTTTTCTTGCCTATCACTTAATTGTATTGTTACTTATCGGTATACCATACTTGTGATTCCCGATAGGTGATAAGTCGATAACGATACCAAAAAAACATTTTATAGACTATGACTAGTTGTAGTCGGAGGCCAGATGGTCCCGTGAATATTGAAAGTTGACAGTTTGTGTTGTGCGTTCTTCGTATTTTGATTTCGTGTAGTGTTTTTTCTTTCGAGTGAGCCCATAATTAAATAATTAAAAAATGCCTAGACCTAGACCAAAACCAACATTTTTTTTCTTTACATAGAATACCTATTAAAATAATATATTACCATGGTTAGATATCATTTATAGGTATTACATTTCTGCCCCTACGCTTTTTTCATGTCGTCAATTTGATTTATTTTATTTCGCTGGTTAATCACGACCACAGTACTCGTATAATTGTGCTTCGTGTTATTGTCTCGTCTTGCAAAAATCGCCGTTTTGCAACGAAGACCGTGTTGTGCAGTACTTAATTGAAAAAATTTGTTTTCCAGTACACCTAATTAGTTCTTGCGACCCCCTACAAAAGCCGCCAAAATGTCCATGATATCATGTGTCGTCAACGTCCGATGAGCTATTGAAGACGAAACCGCAGAAAACAATGAAATACATTGGATAACTGTCGAGTGATAAAAATGTGCATTCCTTATCGCCGTTCGTTGGCGCATCTTTGACGTACTGAAAAGTTAGCAAGTCTAGGGGTGACAGTAAGTCGTTACATTATCGGGTGAATAATAATATACGATACATCCCGATGCATAGCATACTGAAAAATCATGAAAATTAACCTCAGACCGCTTGCTGTTAATGTTAAGGATTGTACCGATAGAACTCAAAATTGATAACACTCCTTGAAACCGTTAAACAAGTATTTCTAAAACATTTTATTTTATCAGTCGTACGAAATTAATTGTAATATTAATTAATAAACATAATTTGACAACGATGTATCGCGGTTGAAATCATATTTTTCTGAACACTATATCAAAAATATTTGTAAGTACTCATTTTGAGATACGTATTTAATGGCATTTGAAATATATACGTTTGTTTAAAATTCACTTTTATTAAATTGCAATATTATTACGCCTGAAATATTAAAACAAGATTTTTCATAAGTATCGTCTATCGAAATTATACGTATGAAGCAACGTTCCTTCTCGTCGTTAATGTCCGAATTCAACAATATTCGTCGAAATCAACAGGTTACCCGATACGAGTGTGACGTACGTGACATTTCGTTCGATCAAAGTGACAATCTGACAATACACCTGAAAAAATTGTGCTTTGAGAAAACCATACCTGTGTGACTCGAGAGACATGTAATTTGGTGTAAATTCAATCTTACAAAGCACAAGTACACAGTAAAAAACCAGTCTATTTGAGATAACAAATTATAAATATCAAAATTAATATAAACTTTTGTGCCTGCAGGGTCAGCCGTTTTCCGCAGCCGTGTGGAACGACTAGAACAACTTAAAATATGATGCTGTCCAGAGTCATCAAAATGATGTATCCATAGTTTCAACTTATATGATTAGATTTAAAGTCGGATTAATATAAGCAGTGAATGTGACAGCCACAGCTGATACCTGAAATGATAACAAACAAACAATTTATTGTTTTTAATTTTATATTCTCGGGGGAGCGATGAATGTTATGACTTTGCTGTAAACAGTGTTGTTTTTTTATTTTTGTGGCTGTCATTATTTGTTTTAGCAGTAAACGAGTTACGATATTCTTGTTTATGAGTGGTTCATTTTTCAACGGAATCTTTTTTGAAATTTGAAGGGGTACAAAGAATAAACGACCGTAGAAATCACTCTGCTATATAGTACCTACGTACCGTCGAGTGTAACTCATCAATGAATAAGTCACTGAAATTACATAGTTCCATACATACTGTTACAATTAAAGAGTTGAATCAGTTAGTTTCTGAAATAGCTAAGTATTTTTTTTAAAAATAACTAAAGCTTGTAGGTAATGTATGTAATTTATACTTTGATTAGTTATTTTATACGTTCCTTGGCATAATTTCGTTAATGTGTCAGATTGTAAATAACAACATATTATCACGATAAATGAATATAGTTCTAACATTTTCAACAATTTAATATAACATATTAAATCAGATATGATTGACGTCCTTTTTTTAAATTGTTTTATTTCTTTGATACCTTCCTACACATTATAATTACTGGAGTGTTATTTCGACTAGTACTCTCGATCCCAGTTCATAGTTTGTTCAGAAAATTTGTTAGCTCTAGAAGCTTTTCCAAATAAAAGTATTGCATTAAGAACTGCGGAAACTGCGCTGTCACTGGGAACTGGTCAGGGTTTTTTTATGTGCAGTTGTACCGAAAACTGTGGCACAAAGCGATGTGTTTGTAGAAAAAAAGAGGTATTGTCCAACTCTAAATGCCATAATAGCCTTACATGAACAAATAAATAAATAATATAACTATAATAAATTCAGTAAAATAAAATATTTAAATATATATTTTAAATTTTAATGTATTTTATACTTTAACGGATACCAAACTGAAATTGATATGACATTCTATGAAATAACTAGTTAAAGTACAATTGTCATGTATTATTTAATATTTTAACTAACATTCGAAGGTAATTCATGAACTACCTAGTTATTTCATAAAAAAAACGGAATTCAACACTTTAGCTGTAACATATTATTATGTAACTAATTATTATTTTATTTTTATTATAATAAGCCGATATGTCAAATGCAAAATAAAATAATGGACCCCAGGTCATTGTAACCTAAAGGAAATGAAAAGGCAGACGAAGATGCTAGAAATGTAATCAATAGTCCAGACAATGAAATAATTCCTATTAATACTAATAAACAAGTATGATAAATGTTAATGTATAGATCAGTGGAGCTTACATTAACACGCGACCAGAGAGAATAAATTAAGAGAAATCAAGCAGTCTGTTGAACTCTGGCCGAAATACACTGATATAAACAGAAAAAATTAGGACATTTTTAACCTACTCATAATATTAGTCACTCGAAACTCATACTCGAACATCTTAAGGCAAAGATGGACCCACCCCTACAACATGTAATACAAAATACTCCACCAAACATAATATCATATTCTGCTGCCCCAACTTCAATGAAACCTGAAAAGATTTCAACATCCCAGACTACCTGTACGAAGCAATTTGTTCATCTTCAAACTTTCGAAGCCCTGTGATAAAAGTTAAAAATATAAATACAAATTATTACATATTTGCAGGTATGTTTTAATAGTAAAATATCGATTGTCGTCTCCGTGCAGCAAGTTTAATCAATCTCAGTATTTAAATAAAAAGAAAATTCTGCGGTTCAGATTTATGTTACAATATTTTAAATTACACCGACAAATCCATTATGTATCCAAATAGGGATAGAAATTTAACAATTTAATACAAATAAAGATCGATTTGAAATATTAATATAGCTTCATATTCAAAGAACAAAATAACTGCACTTTCACCACTAATAATACGCCTTCCTTGATTTAATATACCGTTTAACAAATGCACGATAGTTGCAGAGGTCGGAAAGTCGTCTGTTCTCCGTAGAACGCTAACTACTGCCCTCGTCCACTCACGTGTTTCTCCGCTCGACGTCTTATAAAATACTTAAACCATTTATTCTAAACAAATTTACTTTTATTCTTATTCCATTACATAACTCCGAGATTTTTAAATAAACAGTTTTTTTTATAAATGCAGATACACGACGTCTGTGTATTGCGCGGTTCAAATACCGAATAAAAAACGGACAAAGTTTTCGCCGCAGATATCGAAAAACCAACCGCGACTTATAATACTGATAGGTAACTGCGTAAAAAGAAACGTGCGAGAGTCTATATTATCGTAGATGAATCCTCGTGAATTTTTCGGTGTTTGGCCAGACTGAATCCTCGAGCGAACGATTTTTCACAAACGTCGCATCAGTGTGGCTCCTCTCTAGCGTGCACCCTCTTGTGACCTATTAGGTGGCCATTTTGGCGGAACGATTTGTCGCACACGGCGCACAGGTATGGCTTCTCTCCCGTATGCGTTCGTCTGTGGACCGTCAGACTATTGCCGCTGGTGAACGATTTGTCGCACGTGTCACACGGGTAGGGTTTCTCTCCCGTGTGTGTCCGTCGGTGAACCGTCAGGCTATAGCCGTTAGTGAACGATTTTTCGCACACGTCGCACGGGTATGGTTTCTCTCCCGTGTGCGTTCGTCTGTGGACCATCATATTATGGTGGCTGGCGAACGATTTGTCGCACACGTCACACGGGTACGGCTTCTCTCCCGTGTGCGTCCGCCTGTGAACCGTCAGCGGGCTATTGTGGCTGAACGATTTGCCGCACACGTCGCAAGTGTACGGCTTCTCTCCCGTATGCGTTCGTCTGTGGACCGTCCGATGGCTATTGTGGCTGAACGATTTGTCGCACACGTCGCACGGGTATTGCTTCTCTCCCGAGAGCGTCCGTTTCCGATCCATCGCACTATTGGTACGAATGGTCGACGATTCGTAACGTACCTCACACGAGTATATAGCTTCTCCTCTGTGGTGCGATTCCGTCGGGGAATTGTCGGTTGGCGATTCGAACCGAACGACTTGTCGCACGAGCATTGCACAAACGCTCCGCCTCGACAGACCCGAGTTTGTAGGTTCAGTTCTGTCAACACCACCGTAAACGTCACTGTCCTAAGATATATTTTACTTCCTACTCGAAAATAGATTCACAGATAAATTGGTTTTTTAGTCTATTGTCGTACGGTAAAATCAACTCTTGTTTGTTCTGGTTACCAGGCTATTATAGTGATATGTGTACAGTCGATTGGAAATTTTATATCTAAACATTCGGGTGGTTTTTAAGCCAGCATTTTCGCATTAAACTTTGACCGATGGACCGGTGTAATGTTCTCTGCGCTACAAAGATTCTTAATTCCTTGTAGATAGGATTTATACTCATGTTATTATATTGTACACTACCTTTTTTTTCCAACCCCTTGTTACCGAGAACCGAGGGAGGGACTGCTGGTTGCTTCTTCCCCGGTCCCCGTCGTTTATTGTGTTGTGTGAGTAATCTCAAAGGCTCCAAAAGCCGTAAGCTTTTGAGACAAATCAAATAAGTGCCAAATTGAACTGAAGAATAACGTTTATTTAGCAGAAAATATGGTAAGTGTATAATAACGTGTGCGTGTGTGACGAGAAGTTGCTCTGGTCTCCGTGGCTATGATACATCTGCCCAGGCTGTACCAAGGGCTCTTTTTGGACACGTGGTATATCGTAAAATATGCCAGTAATATTGTAGACTGTCAGACCGTCTTCAATCAGAATTTGTCGTGTACAACGATTTTATGTAATTAAATTTAAATTCAACACATCCATTGCGGTGATCCACACGGCCCCTGTAATTATAGTCAACAACAGAGTCTACTTTCTAGCCTTTTTTTATTTGTTTCGAGAACAGGAGACCTCAGAATTTTCGTTGAAAACTAGCGAACGCCACTGGAGTGACTAGAGGGGGCTAATTATATCACACAACTTTTATTTTAGCCCCCCCCCCCCCTGTAATAATTCCTACACTCATTCCAATAGGTAGCTACTGTAACGATTTACAGATTACTGAAGCGTAATTTATGTCGCACTCGATGAAATTGCTTAGGTAGACAGAACACAGGAACGTAGAGTACGATAATATAAATCATTCGCAAAACTAAACAGTCGAGTTCGAATCGTGTAATAGAGACAACAGTCATCTTTACATATTATTTAAGTAACATAATTTATTTGATTTACTATAGGTATAATAACCTACCTTATAGATAAATCATAGTAATTCAATCGTTTCAACTCGTACCCCGCTACTCCTGTGGTCTTCAATATACTACCCATAAAAACGGGGTTACTCAGGTGATAGTGTACTGTATATATTATTACTTTTTAAATATTTAATAAACCTTGTATACGTTGCTATATCGTGTTCAATTGTGTTAGATTTATGAACGCAGGTCATAAATTTCTATTACCTGTAAAATATAACTTAGAAAAATGTATTAGTATCAATTCAACAACCCGGTTCATAAGATCGGTTCGTGTAGTGGGAATAGCTAACCAACTACTCCTTAACTGGATGGAATTAGGTATTAATATCGACAGCCAATTAAAATTGTAAAAAACAAGGTAGGCGTGTTGCACTACATGTAAACATTTTAAATTTAAAAATCGTGGTATTTTTTTTAGTGTTGGTCTAGTTGAAGGTTCTCGCCTTCTAAAAAATGTTAGTGTCAAGTTCGGCGACTCGACCGAAATTGTTTTCGAACATGTGAATACGAGTACTCGCCTTGAATCCAGACAAGTATTAAAAATACTATAAATTGAATTTTATTGAAAAATTAATGTTAAAACTATAAACAACTGAAAGAACCCAAATTCTAGTGCAATTTAAAGTACTCAAGTAGTTCTTAGTACTTGACATTTTTCGAATACTTGGAATTTGTTGAGTACTCAAATTTTGAACTCGACTCGACTCGAAATTAAAGAACATTAATCGTCCAACATAATTTTTTTTTTATGAACATCTGGACATTTTTTTTTTTTTGAAATTGCCAAACTATATAAATTATATCATTATTATAATTATACTATGTGATGACCCTGTGTATGTCGCATAATGTAGTGTTGTTTTTACTACTTACTTACACGGAAGTAGTCAAAAAAGTTAACACAGAAATAGTCGTCACTCAGTGAAGAATAGAAATATGATTTGATTTGTGTAACATTAATGTATAAATGTATTCAATGACCGCTGTGCCTACTGAATGAGAATCTTGCTAAAACAGAATTAGATTTTAAATTATTTTGTTATATTATCGTCTTCGGTTGATCTTCATAAGTATAAAGTTGAGTGCTGGTGTTTGATAGTTCGTATTCTGGTCAACATATTTATGATTATAGTAGCTTGGCCAAATTTTGTTTTTTAGATTTTCAGGATATATTAAATATACAATTAATTAAATTTAAATGAATAGATTAACAGTTATCAGGGGTGTTAAAAGGGACTTAAGAGTATTGTTCAAAAATCTGTTTTTCAAAATCATATAAAATGCTATATTTATCACTTTCTGTTCCAACAGGTGATAGAACTTTTTCAACACTGCCGGATCGATTCTCTTAGTTAGTTAATATAGCTATTGAAAAAGATGTATAAAACGTTCTAAGTAAATAAGAAATTTAAAAAATATTTGCTTAATAATGGCTAGTGTGTTATTATATTGTTAGTTGTTACCCATATGAATTGTTCAACTTTCACTCTTATTTCAATAAAATTACGTTAGAAACCTCATTAATTAGTAACTTAAATAATATATTCTAAAAATTGCACGTTTACCTCCACTTCCCAATTTTTGAATATTCGTAGTATAGGTACACCCACACACACACACACTCTATAATAATAAAATGAAATATTAATCGTACATTTGTTGTCAATTAGTGTAGATAATGTGTTTTGGGTGGTGAGGGGGCTCAGCCTTACCACTCAGTATTTACTTATTCTGCGAATTCCGGGGCTAAAGTCCCCCCTAGCTTTAAGGTTTAGTTACGTCTATGGTGAACACGCTAAGAGAGAACCTCGAGTGAAACAATACGAAGCTTCGACTAGATAGTAATTTACATGTCTGGTGACATTAAAATAACAACACAATGACGAATCTCCGTCGTAAGTCGATAAGCTCCGTAATATTTACCCGCGATCGAACGCCGTTGATTTATTAAATCCCGATGTGTATGGACGTGCTCGACCCAAGTGCATGTCCTTAAAAATACATTTAATAATTATAGTACATATTATACAGTCGCAATGGTGTTAGAACGATGTGCAGAATGTCTCCTTACGACGAGCGCCTCGGGTTATCCGATTTTTGTTTTTAATTGCATTTCGCACGTCGTCTGAATCGGGAGAGATTTTGGCACGACAATAATAATTATTATCTTCTCGACGCCACAATAATAATAAATAATCTCGTTTTTACGATTCCTCGGAGGACTGCTCTCAAATCCAGCGAGTGTAAAAGGCGCCGGCGGCTGTATACCGAATAATACGGATTATTCTCGACTGGAGATGCGGGTTTCGACACCGAAAAACGAGGGTAAGGTTTTGGGTTTCCGAGTACAAGTTGTTTGGAGAAACCTTAAAATCCCTTCGTATCCGTCCCCGTGTAGCTATTGGGGAGTGCTACATAATTGCGAGTGTTGATTTGGTCTTAATTGGCGTAGATAGAAATTACGATATTACTCGTGTTGTCATTATAGTGAGGCCAGGATTTTCAAGTGAAATTCGTTATTTTCTGTCTTAAAAGTCTCTGCAGGCAATGCTTTGAGAGTACATTTACAGAGTGCGTTTCGTACATCAGATGATCGGAAACTTAAACTTTTATTTTGGATTTTTAGAAATTTTGGTGAGGATTTTTTCGCTAATTTCGCTAACTTTTAGTGCATATTTATTATTTTCTGCATTTTTAAATTAAACTTGTTTGGCGGTTCCAAAAAATAGCCCCAAGTGTTTTTCCTCGAACATTTATTGTTTGTCAAACTACCATTTGTATGATTTGTATTGTGCATCCCGAAACTCGATCCAGTAACAACTTTAATTGGTCAGTTGACAAGTTCGTATTCTCTCAAGAAGTTTTAAAAAAATATATAATTGTCATTTTTCTTAGGGACTTTAAGGAGGAAGATAATAGCGCAAGTGTAGACTAGAGTTTGAACTACGGTCACTTCTTTTATTTTTATATTCTGTTTATTCCATTTTTGCGTTATTACACTAATATTAATACCGAAGTTAAGTCTAAGTATAAACGTTTTGACTTAAAAACAAATAAAGGCTATGTGAATTTTGAAAGTTTAGTTGACTTTAAATTATTAATAAATCGTAATATCAATAATTATATTCATATTTCATAAAATGTACTAATTATTAATAATTAATATAGAACAATAGATATTTTCGATACATTTTTTAAATCTTTTAAATAGTAAAAAATAACAATGTCTCTAATTTAGTTATTTTACCATTTTTACCTCATTATTGGTAAATTTACCTTTTTTTTCGTGAATTCTCCATCTCTATTTAAAGTACAATAATATAATGTGAGCAATTATTTTGATATGCATTTTAAGTTCGTATTTTAGAAAATTCATCAAAATCTCTAAAATGTTCAAATTCATTTTCAGTTAGAAATTAATAAGTTTTTCCCTCCAACTATAACATCAGATATTTCAATAGAATATTCCGCACAAATTGTACCCCCTTCAACTAAACAAAAAAAAAATCAGCGAAAAGTAACATTAATTTTTTATGAATGTTTGAATTTTTAGTTTTTACGATATTGGCTTTTTGGCAGTAAATCATTAACGCATTACCATAATTCAATTTTAGAGATTCTGTTGTAATTCAAAAACGAATTACCGTAGACACTGGGAATTTTCAAAAT